CCAGTTCTGCCTGCTGAAACGGCTCCAAGGAGAGGAATTTGGGCTTTAAAATCCACCCCTCTGGGAAAGGGAGGGCGCAGAGCTGTTGGCCTCGCTGATAGAAGGCTCTGTGTGTGTGTGTTTACCCCTAAACCCCATGTGTTTGAGGGTCCTTAGAGCCTCTCCATCCCCGTGGCCAGGGAGGGAGGTCTCCAGCATCTGAGATGCTTCTCCTGCCTCTCCAGGATGTTTGACGTTGGCGGGCAGCGGTCGGAGCGGAAGAAGTGGATCCACTGCTTCGAGGGCGTGACAGCCATCATTTTCTGCGTGGCCCTCAGCGACTACGACCTCGTGTTGGCAGAGGACGAGGAAATGGTACGTTATGGAGGAGCTGAGGGTTGGTTAACACCAGTGCCTGGCTCCAGGGCGCTGGAGAAGGGAAGCAGCAGCAAGTGCAGACCTTTCCTCCATGGGGGTGGCCGTGTCTTTGGGTTGCTCCTGTTGTCACGGTTGTTCGAGGGCTGTGAAGATGAGCACTTCGTGCAGAATTTTGCTCGGAAAAGGATGACCGTGGTGTATAAATGCGGTTTTTCTCCAGGCCCTGGTTACAGGGATGTACCTTGAGTTGTCCCCGAGGTGTGAGTTCCTCTCTGGGGGAGCAAACCCATCCTGGGGGGGTTACAGGGTGAGGAGCTGACCTCAGGGCTGTCCTCGTGCTCTTCCTGGTGCAGTGGCAGTGGGGACACAGCAGTGACACTTGACTCTGTGTCTGCCCTTTGCAGCAAAGCGGCTCTGTCCCCCACATCCTCCCCTCGTTGCTTCACTGCTTGTGTCACCTCAGCGACGTGTCACCTTCCTCCTTTGATTTTTTTTTCAGAACCGGATGCACGAGAGCATGAAACTGTTTGACAGCATTTGCAACAACAAGTGGTTTACAGACACCTCCATCATCCTCTTCCTGAACAAGAAAGACCTGTTTGAGGAAAAGATTAAGAAAAGCCCACTAACGATCTGCTATCCCGAGTACACAGGTGAGGCTGGGCTGGGAATGAGTCAGTCAAAGCCTGCACAAGCTGAGATCACTTCAAAGCTTCTCTTTTCCCCCATTCCCTCAACTCCTGGGCAGCACCAGGGCTGTCACGTTAGCTGATAGGTGATTTTCTCAGAGGAGATGTGGTCGTGCACGTCTGTGGTTGGGGACAGCCTTTGTCTGTGTGTTTTATGGCCTGCAGTACCAGCAGTACTGTGCTGCAGCAGTTTGAGGTCACTGTGTTTTCCACACGCTATTAGGACAATGCTTGGATTTAATTTCAATTTCAGAGGCTGGGAAGAGTATCCATGTCCTGGGCATGGCACTTGGTGTCTGTGTTTTGTCAGTGGGATGCTTCACAGCCCTCCCCTGACATGACCCCGCATGGATGTGATGCTTTACCTCATCACTGCTTGAGGCATTTAGGTTTTTGAAACAGTCCTTCCCTCAAACCTGCTTATTCCTGTCATTTATCACCCTTCTGAATCACACAATCACAGAATATTAGGAAATGGAAGGGACCTGGAAAGCTCCCCCAGTGCAACCCCCCCAGAGCAGGATCACCAGAGCAGTCACACAGGAACACGGCCAGGGCTTTGGGTGTCTGCAGACAAGGAGACTCCACAACCTCTCTGGGCAGCCTGGGCCATGCTCCATAACCCTCACACTGACAAAGTTTGGCCTCATCTTCAGCTTGAACCTCCTGTGCTCCAGCTTGGGACCATTGCCCCTTGTCCTGGCATTGGCCATCCCAGAGCAGAGCCTGGCTCCTTCCTCCTGACACTGCCCTTTCCCAATGGATCCCCAGGAATGAGGGCACCCCTCAGTCTCCTCTGCTCCAAGCTCAAGACACAGCTCCATGTTTGTAGCACGAAGCATCACGTAGCCAGTGATCCCTGGAGCAGCGGGTGAGGTGCAGGAGCGAGCCACATGTCCAAGGTCACTGGGCAGAAGCTGGGAATAGGCTCCAGATTGACCAGAAGGGGTTAATGGTGGATTTGGATTTGGAGCTGGATAAGGCAGATGGTTGCAAGCAGCTTAATATGGACTTAAAAGATCTCTCTGCTGCGAAGTGCTGGCCAAAGGAAGGGATCTGATCTTTTTCAGGCTCCAACACGTACGAGGAGGCAGCTGCCTACATCCAGTGTCAGTTCGAGGACCTGAACCGGAGGAAAGACACCAAGGAGATCTACACGCACTTCACCTGCGCCACCGACACCAAGAACGTGCAGTTCGTGTTCGACGCCGTCACGGACGTCATCATCAAAAACAACCTGAAGGAGTGCGGGCTCTACTGAGGAGGAAGAGGCGCGGGATGAAGGTAAAGAGGAGCCCCTGGAGGTGTTGAAACCTTGGGGGTGGCTCTGCCTTGCTCCCCATTAACGCTCGCTCTTTTTCCTTTCCAGTTTTTTTCGGGAACCAAACTCTTTGCTGCCTCACGGGGACGGCTGCAAGCATGAACAGGACCAGGGCAATGCAAACAGCATGCAGAACCGTTGCATTCTTTAGCACAATCTTCTCTATTAGGGACCTTTTTCTTGATTAGGGGACGTTTAGGTCAAGGTGGGACAAGAGTTAGAGCGAGTAGATCGTCCCGGCATCGTCTGGATGGCGTGGTCCGATGTGTACAGCTGTGGTGAAGTTGAGGTGCTGGATTCCAGGCCTTCGATATATGTAGCTTTTCTTCTCTTTCTTTGGTTAACAAACCACCACTAAGTCTGTTTTTAAGGTTTGTTTGTTTGTTGGTGTTTTTTTTCCCGTCGAGAAAAACTCTTTCACTTTACTAAATTTTATTTCTTTCTTTGCAAACGGATCTTGTTTTAAAAAGAATAATAATAAAGAAAAAAAAAGACAAAAAAATAATAATAATAATCACTTAACTATGCACATGTGACCAGATCATGCAGAAAGTATTCCTCTTAGCAGGAACTCTTTGTTTTTAACACTTGGTATGGTCAGGATTTAATATTTCTGCAACTACTTAAAGGATCCTTAGAGCTCTAAGCGACAGCTTCGGCTTTTTCGCAGGTGATTTGTTACCGTCCTGCTCCCACGAGGCTTTCGAAAGGAGCTTCTGCAGGAAAAGTGAGGTGTTTTTTTAGGTTACGGTCACGGTTGAACCTGGTTTGTGCCGATACCCGAACCGTGTCCCCCTTGGCGAGGTGACACCGAGCTCCAGAGCTGCTCCACCAACCCCTTCCCCTGCGGTTTTTTTGGGCTGGGTCGTTTTATAAAGGGTGCACCTCGTTCTGCATTTACCACGGCCCTTTTCTGTTCAGAGACTCCTGTACTGACGAGCATGCCTTTACTTTGTATATGTGGTGCCAAACCCCCGTTCGCCAGCGGTTTTACCCTAGTGACGCCCACAACCCGTCCCTCTGCTGCCCCGTTGCATCGAGCCCCTCTCTTTTCCCAGTTTATGTGTACAGTTTCAATCTGTTAGACTTGTTGGCAGTATTAAAATGGTGAGTAAACAGCTTAGCGTTTTCTCTAGTTATTCCAATTGCTATTTTCCCCGCTTTTGGGCTTGGCTGGAGAAGAAGGTGAGCGCTGTCCTTGCTGGGACAGGAACGTTCTTGTGCTTTACTGCACAAAACTGTTGGTCCTTTCCGAGGCAGCATCTTTCATTGGGATTATTAGCAAATCGTTAATTTACTGCTTAATTACAGCACGATGCTCCCTGCCTCCTTTGAACCCCATGGGAAAACGACCGCTCCATTAACGCCGCAGATATCGCCCATTTTGAAGCCACACAAATACAGAATTCAATCTTTTGGGGGTGTTTGTGGGTGCTGTGCACGGTGTCTGCTTTGGCCGGGGGTGTTTTTGGGGTGGTGGTGGTGGCCTGGTGACACCAGGACCTCTGTCTCCATCCCAGTTGGGTACTGGGAGGGCGATGGTGGCCTCCACGTCAGCCCCTGGTTGATCTCAATGGGAAATCCATGAAATATTCCTTGATCCAAGCTCTGGGACCCAGGCCACGCAGGAATGGAAGTGGGAGAAATGACAGACACCCACGTCATGCGTATTTCTTTATTTTGTTTCTCCTACAGTTAAATGAAGCTGTAAATCGGGGGAGGGGGGGGGGTCTCTGCAGTAAACAGGGGGGGTTACAGGGCACGGCTACAGAACCAGCGTGGATTTATTTACAAAGTAAAGAGCAAATTCAGCTCTAAATAGCAGAATGACGCCTTTTGGGGAACCATTTCCTCTTTCTCCAGCCCCATTTTGCTGGGGGGGGTGCGGTTGTGCCCCTCAAAAGCCCCTCACCCTGTGCTGCGGCCTACTTCGGCCTACTCCGGCCTTCACCTCCCTACCCCTGCTCTGGGGACACCAACTCAAGCCTCAGGGGCACAAAATAACCCCAATTCCTCCTGCAAAAGCACTGACGTTGGTTCCCAGGAGCGACTGGAGCTGACCCAGCCTCAAAAACTCCCAAATTTGATTAATTCAGCTTTAATAAAAAGGAAGCAAAGGGGAGGGCCGGGCCTGTCCCTGCCTCAGGGCTCCTCGTGGACTCGGCGTTAATTTGTGTTTCTGGTGTCAAACCACTTCACGTCTCCTTGCTTTTCGTGCGCTGCAGCGTGCAGGGGCTTCTTGCTTTATTTTAATTTCATTTAAAAAAAAAAACAAACAACAAACCAAAAAAGAGGAAATGGCCCCGAAAGGGAGCAGGAAGTTCAGCCTCAGCCCCTTCCTATTTTGGGGCGTGAAAGGAGGCGGCGTTGGCTGCGCAGGGCGTAGAAAAAGTGGGGTCCGAGGAAGTTGTTTGAATTTGGGGTGGATCCTTTTGGCTCTGCTCAGCAGAACGGCGACGGGAATGGAAAATTTCCTCTTCTGGCAGGAGGGAAGAGAGGAGAAGGGGGGGTTAAACGCCTTCAAAGGCCGCGGTTTTGAGGTGTAACAGCAGCAGGAAGGGGTTAGAGACACAAATTTTCATTGCACCGTGCTCGGAAATGGGAAAAAAAATCATTTCTGACCCCAGCAGTGACAAAAAATCCCCAAGCATTGCACTTAATGCTATCTTTATGCTCAACCCTTGCGGCTTTTGCTGCTGCCTGCGGCCCCGGGAGGAGGCAGAGCCTCCCTTTCCACTTCCTTGATGCTTGGAGTGCGTTTTTAGTCTCAAAAAAAAAAGAAAAGCTGCTCAGAAAGCGGCTTTGTTGGCGGCACAAAGCAGAGCTGGAGGGCGAGGGGAGCTGCCTGCCTTAGTTCTTTACTTTTCCTCGCTTTTCTATGGGTGTTCAGGGACGAGGGAAGCGCTGGAGGCTCCCTGAGGCCACCCCCAGCGCTGCTCCCACGCAGAATTAGGCTTATCAAAGAATAAACCTATAAAATAAACCCCAATTAAACGTTTATGGGAACGAGCTGGAAGGCCAGGTGGGGTTTGAGGTTCCTGTGTCATCCTCCTGCTGTGGTTTGGGGTCGCTGGGGATGTCCCCGTGCACCGAGGCTGGGGGACGGCCTCCAAACTGGGCTGAGAACCAGAGCAGCACCAGTGAGGGGGGCGGTGATGGGAGACCCTGAGATGAGAAGGTTTTATGGGCTATAAAAATAGATATATACTGTAATATATTCGATATTATTATAATATATAGCAAATATATACTAT